ATGGATCAGCTGGGAGAACAAAGTCTCTTCCTGCTTGCCAGTCACCTTGCCTGTCTGATGTCTGTGCCAGTTAACTGCATACAGGGAGCAACCTCTGGATTAATGCCCTAAGCTGGCGTGGGTGGGGCAGCCTTTGAGAATGCCTTAGGGCACTGCCAGGGGGTCTCAGGCCAGCAGTCCGTGTTCTGCCACAAGAACAGAGCCCCTTCGTGCTTTCTGGACTCTGCGCCCGTCTCTGCTGTCTGTGCCAGTCAAGCACACACAAGGAACAGCCTCTGGGTTAATCCCATTGGCTGCCTTGGGCAGGTGGCCCTCAGGATGGCTTAGGGCACAGGCACAAGGCCCAGGTGAGCGGCGTGTGTTCTGCCAAGAGAACGGAGCCCCTTCATGCTTCCTGGATTCTGCACCCTTCTCCACTGTCTGTGCCGGTCAAGCGCGAGCAGGGAGCAGCTTCTGAGTTAATCCCCTGAGCTGCCATGGGCGAGGCGGCCCTTGGGATGGCCTAGGGCACTGGCAGGGGTTGCAGGCGAGTGGCATGTGTTCTGCCACAGGAACAAAGCCCATTTGTGCCTCCCAGATTCTGCAGCAGTCTCCACTGTCTGTGCCGGTCAACCATGCACAGGGAGAAGCCTCTGTGCTAAGCTGTGTGGTTGCTGTAGGCGGGGCTGCTCCCTGGCTGTTCCGCAGCAATGGTGGGTCAGCCAGTTTGCTTGCCGTGCCAGAGGAGGGGAACGGCAGGCTGCTTATCGCTGCGAGGCGGTTCGGAGCTGTATTGCCACCCAGGTGTTAGGGCGCCTGAAGTTCCTTAAAGTTCCCAGCCTGCTGGGCGGACTGTGCCAGGATGATTTTGTCCACCTGTTAAACCCTTGTCTCTTTAAGACTTTTAAGGCACCTGCTTTTAAGGCACCTGCTTTTCTTTTGTCCCAGGGCAGCCGGCTGTGGGAACCTGTTCACAGTCTCATCTTGGACCTTGCTTCTCTGCTCCTCCAATATCCAGTGCACGTGCAGTGCATGTCTGTGCTCCCAGGGCAGACCACCAGGGCTGGTTATTTAGTGGTCCTGTGCTTCCACTCCCTCCCCACTCTGATTCCCTTCCTCCCGTCAGTGAGCTGGGGTGAGGGGAGTGCTCGGGTCCTGCCAGGTCACAGCTTTGTATCCTACACTTTTCTGTGAGATGTTGGGCTCTCGCAGATTTAGCCTGGCTCCTGTACTGTATCTTCCAGTCACTCTTTTAGGAATAGTTGTATTCACTGTATCTTCAATATATATATGGTTTGGGGAGGAGATTTCCACCACCCTACTCACGCCGCCATCTTGAGAATCTCATCTTAAGTTTTAAATACCAAGAATTTGTGAGGACTAAGAGTATTTGGTCTGGGCAAGGCTACTCTTTGCTGATCTAAATAGCTCTCCAGCTATCGTGAGACACCTGCTCCTGCTGTCACCAGCCTGACTACTCTTGTTTGGCAGTGCTGTTAAACCCTGCAGCAGTTTCAGGAAGAGAAGGGACGTCTTGTCCTGCTTTGGCAAGGATGCTCCTCATAGGCAGAGGTGAAAGCCATGAATGATCTCTGGGCTAATCACCTTGGAAGCAGAGCATGTTGCTTGCCAGCATTGTGCCAATTACCTGCTAGCTTGTGCCCCAGGAGTCAGGGACCTAAGCTGACAGCTTATATCCAGCTTTTAGATGGAAGGACTGACTCCACCCAGAATCAACTCGTAGAAAGGCATACCTCAACTAAATTTGGACTTTATGCTACCTTGAGGGCAGTTCTCAGTCCTCGTCATCTGTATTAGTTTTCTGTTGTTGCATAACAATTTACCACAAACTAAGCAGCTTAAAACAATACCCATTTTTTATTTACCAGTTTCTGTATGTCAGAAGTGCAGGAATGGCATAGCTGTTTCTGTGCTCAGGGTCTCACAGCATACAGGGAGCAACCTCTGGGTTAATGCCCTCTGGGTTGGCCAGGTCTGTGGTCTCATCCAGAGCTCATAGCCCTCTTCCAAGCACGATCAGAGTATTGGCAGAATTCTGTTCCTTGCAGCTGTAGGACTGAATCCCCATTTTTTCTTGCTAGCTATTAGCCAAGGACCACTCTCAGGACTTAGAGGCCACCCTCAGGGCCTTACCACGTGGCACGCTTCGTGGGCCATTTTAAAATACCAGTTTATCTCTTCAAGTCCACAGGAGAACATCTGACACTTCACCTTCTTTAAAGACCTCACTGATTAGGCCAGGAATATCCAGGGTAACATTATCTTTTGATTAACTCACAGAAAATGGATTAGTAGCTCAATCATGGGAATGATATCCCTTCACAGATTCTGTCCTGATTGTACAAGGCATGTGCACTAGGAGGCACGAATCTTGGGGGCCATCTTGAATCCAACCTATCACATCACTCAGGTATGAGGGCCCCTGCCTGTTCCCAGTTTTGCCTCCAGTTGTGCCCTGAAGTTCCAGTCTATTCTGCTGCCTCTGGTGAGTGCTCCTAGGATGGGCTAACACCAGACATCTTGGATCTTGCCCAGTGCCATCTGGGCCTTTTGTTTCCTGCCATCTTCTGTCCTGAAATCTTTGTCTGCCCCTCTGGAGATGCTGCAGCTGGACTTCTGATGCCTCAAGGATGTCATCGTCACCAGTTGATCAGCCTTTCAACTTCCTGTTGCAGCCTAAGCCTTCATCCTGGAAGAGTTTAATGAGGCATTTCCTCTGATGTGTACAGAGGGGAGGGATAATGTTATTGAGGAGCTTGTCAGGACAAAGATACTGTTCCACCATGTGAATTGCTAGTAAAGGGCAGTTCACATTCAAGAAAAGCTCTTATCTTTCCCGGTGGGAATGAAGCATGCATTGGCAAAAGAAAATGAATCCTGCCACTTTAAGGCTGGAAGTGACCCTTGAGACTATTCGTCTGACCGCTCCTACATTGCTTCCATTTCTCAGGTCCCTACTTAAGCACCTCCAATGAGGGGGATCTCATGACTAGACTGCTTTGAAAATGGGGATGAACAAGAGAAGGCACCTGGGACAATGACATTCTTACTGCTGTTGAATTAAAGCTCTGCCATGTGCCCTTTGGCATGTTACTCCAGTTTCTTGAACCACATGTTACTCCAGTTTCTTGAACCACAGTTTCCTCATCTACAAGGTTGAAATAATAATGGAAGCTACCTAGTAAGTTTTTAGGAAGATTACTTAAGATCATTCATGTATAACGCTATGTCCTGGCTGGCACACAGTGAGGGCTTAATAAATGGTAACCGTTAGTCTCTAGAAAACGTATTTTCCTTTTGTAAAATTACAGTTCTTTTCCCAGAGCAGGAAAGTTTGTGAGATGAGGGACAAGGCATGGTGGAGGGTGAACAAACACAGCACATGGTCAGGGAGAAGGGGTGGCAAAAGAAAGCAGCCTTCAATGGTGATCCTGCGCCACCATCCAGTGTGGTAGCAGGGTTCTAATGGTACTTCTTCATAATTTATGTTTCCTATGTAATTCCCTAAATAGTACTCTCATAATATAAAAAATCATTAAATATATTTTTATTGAAATGTAACTCACATAAAATTCACCCTGATAAGTGTGCAGTTAAGTGGTTTTTAGTATATTCACTTACATTCACTATGTTGTCTAACCATTGTCACAATCGAATTCCAGAACATTTTCATCACCCCCAAAAGACACCACATACCCAGTGATACCCACCAACCCACTAGGCAGCCACTATTCTACTTTCTGTCTCTATGGATTTGCCTGTGATGGGCATTTTGTTCTTTTGTGTTCTGGTATCTTTCACTCAGCATATTTTCAAGCTCCATCCAGGTTGTAACATGAATCAGCACTTCATTTATACTCTGCCACGTGGAGATACCACATTTTGTTTACCCATTCATCAGTTAATGGACATTCGAGTGGTTTTTTTCTTTTTGGTCATTATGAACAAGGCTGTTATGAACATTTGTGTACATGTTTTTGTGTAGACATGTTTTCAGCTCTTTTGGGTATTTATGTAGGAGTATTATGTGGTATGGTATATGGTAATATGGTCATATGGTAACTCATGTTTAACTTTTTGAGGAACTGCCAAACTGTTTCAAAGCAACCTGTATGTACCATGTTACATTCCCACCAGCAATATATGCAAGTTTCCCATTTTTTCACATCCTTATAACTTTTTTTTAACAAACAAAGCTGACTCTTTAGCAGAGTTTGGACTCTTTGAGCTGGGACTCACACCTTGTTTTCTTTCAGGAAACAGGGCCCAGGGCAGGGGATTTGGGCTCTGAGTCCATTCGCTATTCTACTAAAGGTTTGTCCTGCCTCCCAGTTCCCTGAACCAAGAGCCTCTCTTTCCCAGTGCCACTTCTAGGGGGCAGCTCACAACAGTTCAGTTTCTCTCCAGAAGTGTTCAAACCTTGACTGAATGTGAAGGGAAAAAGGAAACTTAAGTTTGTGTGTCTCTTACCAGTGTAAGTGCTGCCCTTTATATATACATTTTATCTCAGGGAATAGTCAATCTCAATTAGTTATTAAAATCACATCATTTATTAAAATGAATATTTCCAGGCCCTTCCTAGGAGATTCTGATCCTGTTGTTTGGAGTTCAGCCTAGGCAATCTGTATTTTTAACAAGTGCCTTAGGTGATTCTGATGATTAACCAAGGTTGGGAAGCCTGGTATTACTATATCCCTTATCCCATAGCAGTCTGGCCCATTTTGCTGCTGAGAAAGCCAAGGTTCATAGAATTAACTTGAACAAAATCACAACCAACCTGACTTCTTCCAAAGCCTGTGATCTGCTCATTATGACACCAGGCATTACATTGCTAGCAAATGCCTGCAAGTAGAGACTCCCTCCATGCAGGACTGGAAATTCTGATAACAAGGACTTTGGCAAACACCCCACATCATTCCTTTTTTCTATTTGCACTGAAGGTGAGAATACCTATAATATTCATTTCCTAAGGGTACAGTAACAAAGTACCACAGGCTGGATGACTTAAAACAACAGAAATTTATTCTCTCATGGTTTTGGAAGATAGAAGTCCAAATCAAGATGTTGGCAGGACCATGCTCTCTCTGAAAGCTCTAGGGAAGAACCAGTTCCATGCACTTTTCTCAGCTTCTGTTATTTGCCAGCAATCCTAGGCATCCCTTGGCTTGCAGCTGCATAACTCCAACCACTGCCTCCATCTTCATATGCTGTTCTTCCCTGTGTGTGTCTTCTCTTCTTTAAAGGACACCAGTCACGTTGGGTTAAGGACCCCTCCTACTTCACTACAGCCGCATCTTACATATTAATAGCACCTGCAAAGACCTCATTTCTAAATAAGATCACACTCACAGGTACCAGGACTTAGGGCTTTGATATATCTTTTCGGAGGTGGGGGGGACACAACTCAACTCACAATATCTATGATAGTCAGTAGATATCATGAACAACACCAGAATCCTCAAGTTGGATATACAAACCCAATCACTGTGGTGACCCTTAACTTCATTCAAAGAGGCCAGATAGGAAGAGAAGCTGTGGTGGGGATAGGAGAAGCTTTGGCCACTGTCCGCGAGGCTGAACAGTTACCTTTGATGTGGCATCAGAACAGGTCAGAAAGCCGGCTCACCACTCTTTATTCAGTCAGCAGTTCTCTGTGGGCTGCCTGTGTGCCAGTAGCTGGGCAGGGCCCAGGCAGGCAGGATCCATTCAATCGCGGCTTCTGGTTGATTGGAGTGACCAACAACCAGAGGATTACACTAATGAAGGGACAATCACAAACCAAGATCTCTGCTTTGCGAAGAAAAAACCCGCTGCCACCAAGGAGACTCTTGTGGCTATGCTTCCTAACTTCCTTCCGCCTTCCCTCCCTCCGCCATCCCTCCTTCCCTCTTTTCCTTTCTTCCATTACCCCTGTCCCTGGGAAACCTGAAAGTTTTTCCACATCTCAGTGAAAGATGGGGACTACAGCGTCCCTCGTGGCCAGAGTGGGCATAGCAATGACCCAAAACGAGGGGCTGGGAGATGGAGGGAGGGGTTTGGGAGAGGTGGGAGGGGGAGGGTGGTGTGTGTCTCCGTGCGGGCCTGCTAGGCTAGGGTCCACGCCTCGGGTCCTGCCTGACAGGGCAGTGAACTTCTGCATAGCCTGGGTACCCCCACTGTCACTGCTTCATCTCTTACCTCCCTGTAGGCTGTGGGATCCAGCCAGGCCCTTTCCAATCCACCTCCCACCTCTACAGGTGCCAGAGAGGTATCTTTGTTAAACACCAATAAGAGCAGAGCACTGCCTGGCTCCCAGTGCCCCCCACACTTCCTTCGGGGAGGCTCCCTGTGGCATGATTCCTGCCTGGTACTCCGGTCCCACCTTCCTCTCACCAGATATCCTCCAGATACCTATGGCTCCCTCAACACCAGACAGCATCACCTCTCTGCTCTGCCTGGAACTCCCTGCCCAGTCCTGTTCAGCGGGCTAACTCCTGGTCCTGGGGAAACCAGCTCCATCAACACCTCTGGGTGAATTAAGTGCCCCTACTCAGAGTGCCTGCCTTTTCTCACTCCCATTGCATTGTGCTGTAACTTTCTCTTCCTTCTTCCCACTACACTGGGCCATCCTGGAGGCAAGAACAATGTCTGACTAGACTGTGATTCTCCCCCCAGCCCCATCCCAGTCCTAGATCGGGCCCCGGCCCGGCCCTCGAGGCCCTGCTGGAGGACCACCGCCCACCTGACCATAGCTCTGGCCTTGGATTATACACATTGATATTCCCAAATGGGTTTTGATTGGGACCGGACAAGTTGTTGTGTGTGAGCCTTTAGGGCCAACCCAAGGCAGGGCCCAGGATGCTCTACTGAAGCCACTATTGAAAAGATGGGATCTCAGACGGTGGTTTCCTACTCCCTCCCATTCTGTCACTACTAGTTAGCTCCCAAAGGGGGTCTTCTCTGAGATGCTCCCCTAGCCACTCTATGCTTATTCCAGCACTTTCAGGCTCCCAACCCAACTTTGGGGAAGGTGGTGTACAGGGATGTCTGACACCTTCCTTTGGAGTCTTCCATGAGCTTCTATCAAAAGCCTGGGAACTGAACCTGCTAGAGTGGAGTGGGGCTGCAGAAAAGAAAGCCAGTTTCATAACAGGGGAGGCAGAAATCCAGCCCACCAGGGGGCAGGTTCATACTCTGAAGATGGAGAAAACACACGCCCCTCTCCTCCCCATGCCACAGGATGAGTTTCTAGGCTGGAAGGGGACTTACTGGGCTCAAGCCATCAGAAAAGAAAGGCTGTGTAGCCTCTCCTCACTGGCAAGCTGCTTGCACAGTCCTGGTGACCTGGCAATCCCAGACTGATGGTCTGGGAAAGCTGGCCCTGTTCCAGAACCAAGACCAGTGTTCCTTAAGTTGCCACTGTGCAGGACTCTTCCAAGTTTTAACATTTACTTTAGATGCAGAAGGCCAGTACCAGCCCAGGGCACCTCAATTGTCTGGGTAGTTTACATGCTTCCCACGAGTCTAGGGCCATCCCTGAGAGGGTCAGACCAGCACACCCAAACCACATGGCCCTCCCCAGGGACTCATGTAGACCAAGAACTTAGGAAAGGCAATGAGTGCCAGTCTCAAGCAGAGATATTGGGGTGGGGGGGTGATACTCAGAAGAGCCCCTCCTGTGAGCTGCAGAAACCTACCTCTTGTCACCAACAGGATTTATTTCAGGGTTCTGCCAGCAAAGTGACTTAAATTCTTCTCCATTTCTTCCTTTCCAAGGGTGGCTGTTGAGTTGCATAGGGTGGGGTTTGCTTGAGATCCTGGGGTTGTGTGTCCATTCCCTTACCAGAAAGAGTTCTTCCAGCCCACAGCACCTCCCATCTGCCTCCCACCCCCACCCCACGAGCAGCTGACTTGGAGCTGGGCAGAGAGGCCGTTATCTCTCAACAGACAGCTGTGCAGGGCTGGAGGCAGCAGCCTATCAGGGAGCCTGCAGTGATTCACAGTCCAAGTCCCAGATTCTCTGCTGAATAGTAATTTCCAGCAGTGGATTTGTGCTGTCTCTCCTGTCCCCAGAGGGTGCTGTCCTTTCTCAGAGACAGCAGTGAAGGGGATATCCTATCCATGGGGATGGGGGGCTTTGTGCCAGCCTTCTGGGCAAGGCTGTCTATTGGCAGGGGGCTTAGGGACCCCGGTGGGGCTTGCCACCCTTGTCAGTGATCCTGAGGAGAGTTCATCAATGCATGCCTTCCTTCTCCTCCCAAAGAGCGATGCGCTGCTCCCTTTCCCTTAGTGGTGATACACAAGGGGACAAAGGCCTGCTTCCAGTGACACGCCCCTGAGGTCGGAGCCAGTCAAGGAGGGCTGGGTACAGGGAGAAGCCAGGGACTGGGCAGAGTGCCCTTTGCATGATTTTGAAGCTGCTCAGTCTCTGTGCCTGACCCTGAAGACTCCAAAGGCTGACTCTAGGCTAGAAGGGACTGAGACCAAGGGGGCAGGCCAGAGCAGTATCTGCTAGACAGGTAAGGGGTCAGGAAAAAACCTGGGGATAGAGGTATTTTCAAGTTTGATTGGAAGCAACACTCCAGCTGTGGTGCTCAGGGGAGGAGACATGGAGAGTTCTATCCAGGGTCTTTCCCTCTGGCCCAGTATGGGGAAGGGGGGATGTTGTCAGAAGAGCTAAAACCCATGGAGACATCAGTGCCTGCACATCACAGGATGCTCCTTAAAAGCAGGGAAGGAAAACTAGAAAGGAAACTGTATCCTGGAGTGAGGGACAGAACAGGCCCCCTCCACACCACACACATCTCAGACCCCCCTGCCCTCCCCAAGCAGTTGATTTCTCACTCCTTGCCCTCTGTTGCCAGTGACGGGGATGCTGCCAAGAGCTCTACTGGGCTTCCACACTCTGGGATCCCCTCATGAGTGCTGGGTGTCTAACCCATGGGTTGTCCGGAGCAAGACTCAACAGTCCCACTGCCCACCATTCCTTCCCCGAGGAAGGTCCCAGTATGGCTCAGAAAAGCTGAAGGTGGAGTTCTGCGTCTTCAGGCAACACAGGTGGAGGAGCAATCATCCCACGAACTCCTCTGGGGTCCGTGCTGCCAGTCAGAGAGGGTCTGTGTCCATATTGCGAATTTCGAGGTACCGGGGCATGAAAGACTGGACGTGCATCAAAAGGTCGAGGCCCTGGGGGTAAGACCCAGCAGTCCGGGTGACCCAGAGCCCGGAGTTCTCAGGCCGTCCAGTTCTCTTCAGCAGCGCCTGGCTCAGTGTGTGCCCGTTTCGCGGAGCCTTCTCCGGCTGCAGGGTCCCCACGGCTCCTCTTGCACACTGGCGCGGTTGGCTGGGACGAAGGGCCAGGATGAGGGTTCGGGGGTTGGTAGCCAAGTTGGCGCGGATCCAGAGCATCCTTGGAAAGTAGGATGGCGAGGCTGGGCACGTTTTTAAGTACACTGAGGCTGGCGACTGGCTCACCGGGCTTCTGACCCGGTGCGGGCCCAGGCGGGAGGCTCTGCCACACCTCGCGCACGCTCCGGTAGCGCAGCCGCGTGACCTGATGCAGGCCGGCCAGGCGGCGCTTGAGGATCTCGGCGCACGTGACGGTCTTGGTGGTGGCCCGACCGCAGCCGCTGAAGACGATGGCGCGCGTGGCTGGCTGCGCCATGCGGGCCGTGGCGAAAGCCAGCAGGTTCCGGATCTTGCTGCCCTCCTTCACTCGCATGTGCACGGCGCCCGGCGCCAGGTCGCCGAAGAGGCCGGAGCCGGGGCCGCCCTCCTCGGCCCCGCCCCCCACCGGAGCCTCCTCTGAGCGCACCTTCCGGAAGGTCTCCATGCGCCGTCGTTGCCCGTAGCGCGGGGACTCGGGCTTTGCCACGGGGCCGCTTCAGCCCTGAGGCTGCATTGCTGCCGGTCGTGCCGGGCTGGGGCCAGCAGGGGTAGCGGTGCGGGAGAGGCGCGTACGCGGGCTGGCGCGCGGGGACGGCGCAATCCTCGTCTCCCACTCCCTTCCAGTGGGCGCAGCTCTGCTCGGGGATCTGTGCTCCGCGCCTTTAGCGGATGCTCCGCCTTGGAGCCTGAAGCCCCGCCTCTACCTCCAGGCCCCGCCCCCAGCCCGGCCCGGCCCTCGGAGAGAGTCAAGGTCCTTACCTACCCGCGCGTGGGAGAGGCGCGCAGCGTGGGGCGCCATGGTAGTGTCGAGGGGTGACTTGTCAGAAGTTCCCCTATAATATAATCGCCACTGGCTCTCACTGAGTCAACCCTCATAAACGGGCAGCCTAAATAAAAACTGCGTTTGCGGTGCCAACGCCGCTCCAGGCTGAGTCCCCGAGCCCTTCCGGGTTCCAACTGAACACCATCGCTTGTCCCCTCCCAAGGAGAGATTTCCAAATGACCTGCTTCGGGCCTCTTCCCCCGACTCCTCAGGGGACACCCCCACCGGGGGCCCCGCCACATCCGTCCTTTCCGCTGCGGAGCCGGTGTCCCAGCTTCAAGGTCGGCCTGCGCGCGGTCATCGGGACGCGGGAGGCGCTGGCTCCGGCGGCACTGCTCCGGGCGGTGCTCTCCGGGTAGCCGGAGACCCCGGTCTCAGCCTCGCTGCGCCGCGGAAGCTGGAGGCACCCAGGCCGCCGTGCACCCCTGGGGTGCGGGGAGCGAGGCTTTGGGCCAGGCTATTCCCCGAGGTGAACGCGAAGAGAATAAGGAGCCCCCTTCTCGAGGGGAGTTAAACTCCCTCCCCCCATGCCTGACAGCCCATTACTAGCGCAGCACGCTTTACGGTAAGGCGGGCGTTGTTCCCGCTAAGGTGTACCCCCCTTCTTCCCAGGCTGGATTCGGTGTCAGTTAGCCATGGCCCCCTGAGACCCAGTGGGGTCCTTTTCCAGAAAGGAGACTAGATGAAGGCAGGATTTGAGAGGAGAAGGGAAGAAGGTGAGAAGCTGACGCCTCAGGGTCATTGTGAGTCGACTGGGTGCCCCTTTCCGGGAACTTCACAGGACCAAGAGCGGCCCCGATCTCCTGCCGCAAGAGATGAACAATGTAGAGGTAAGGTGGGGTCGAAGGAGCGCTGGCGGGAGGGCGGGAGCTCGAGGAGAAGGCTGACCCTCCCTAGAGCTGCTCTGGGGCCTCGTCCGTTATCCTTCCACCCCTTCACGCCCACGCAGCCGGAGAGGGAGAGTGGGGCGCACCTGACCCGGGGGCTTTGCCACGGCCCGGCCTGGCGGGGAGGCGAGCGAGCCGGGAAACGCCGGGAGTGCCTGGGGGCGTGACAGTGCCGGGGGCCGCTGCGGGCTCCCTCCCCGTCCGCACGGCTGTCCTCGCCTCTTCCGCAGCTCGCACCTCCGAGCCTTCAGGCCCTGTTCTGCGGAGCGCGTCACCAACCCCCAGGAGGAGTGAGCAGGTGGGCCTTTGCGTCACGATGCATGGGTGACGGACCCGCTCCCGGATCTGCTCGCACGTTGGGGTCAGGGGCCCTCAGGAGGAAGTCCCGCTCCAAACCTGGACCTCCGCCCCGCCCCAGCTCCCGCGGGGCCCACGGGGGACAGTCGGAATCACAGCAGCTTTGAGGCACAGAAACTGCAGCGTATGGCGGGGCCTGGGAAACCGCAGACCCGGGCAGCTGTGGGACTTCCAGGGCAGCAGTTTCGACTAGGCCCGAGAAAATGCCCCGCAGCGGCTGGAATCTAAGTTAGAACGGGCTGATCAGGAAGGGCGAGCTCTCCATCCGCAGGGGCGTGCCAGCCGGGGCCGAACGTTCACTTGGAAGGGATGTAGGCAGGGGTCTGCACGTTGGAGCCAAGGGGCCTGCGAACCCCGCATTTGCGAAGGGCGAAGATGGGGCTGTTCTGCGACCCCTCGAAGGCGCTGGCCCCCCAACCTCACTGCACTGTCGGCAGCCATAGACGACTCCGACTTATTCGCTCGCGTCAGTGAAGGAAGAGCGCGGAAAGGCCCGCATCCCTTCGCGTCAGGTCCCTCCTTCTCCCCGGCTCCCCCTGCAGCACTTAACCTGTAAATGTACACGGTGATTAGCCGCCAGGCCGCTAATTACGGCTCAAGCCGTTCTTTACGGTGTCAGCGCGCATCGTGCCAGGCGGGCTGCGCGCTGCAGCGGGGCCGCGAACTGGCAGGGCTGGGGGCGGGGGTGGAAGGACTGGAGGAGGTTGGGGGGAGCTATGAGGGTGGCGAAGTTGGCAGGGGTGGCAGGAGAGCGGCCTGTGCCGGTGATCAAACGGGGTGGGAGGTGTGGTCCTAGGGCACGTCGGGGAGAGGGGATGCAGACGGAGCGAGGATGGGGGTACGGGGTCGAAGGGTGGGAGAAAAGAGGAATGGGGAGCAGAGCGAAGGAAGGAAATGCCGGGAGGCGGGGAGGAACCGGGGTGGGGGAAGAGGGGCGGGTGCGGTTGGGAGGGGAGGGAAGTAGCGCTCAGCTCTGGGAAGGCGGCTAAGTAACTCTGAGCATCGTGGCGCACACGCCGCAAGGGACAGAAACACAGTCAAGTGTAACACAGTCAAGACTGTCCAAAGAGCCGGGCGCCCGCTACACACGCAGTAAAACCACAAGCCCTTTAAAAAAAGGGGGTGGTGGACCTATTTGTATATTTATAGATGTAAATTTACTTTAAAAACATCTGCAATAGAACAGCACACTGCGTCTGTTACCTCTGAGGCCGCATCTAATTTTGGTGGTAGGACCACCAAATATGAATACAAAATTAAGCAATGAGTCTCTGAAGAGCCCGCGTTAAGTGAGGGACTGTCCTTGAAGCCTGAGCTTCTTTAACTTCTCTATGCCCCTGTGTGACCTTGGGCAATTTCCTTAACCCCCGTGCCTTGATTTTCACAGCTGTAAAATGGGACTGACTTAGGAACCTGCCATATAAAGTGGTTGTGAGAAAGTCTTGCCAGTGGGTTTCAGCCCCGGGCAAGGTCGCTATGGATTCAATGTGACCAAAGAAAATTACAGCAAACGTTCTTGGGGTGAAAGGGTTTATTACCCGGCTTGTTCTCCGGGTGGGAGGTGGAGCACTAGCGTCTCTGCCTCCGCCCAGAGCACTGGGCCGAGCTCTCTATGTAGTGCGATAATAGTTGATTGCCTAAAGGTGTGGAAGCGGTAGCCTAGCAACAGACTAGTTACATCATCAGGTGGTTTAAGTTCAGTGAGGATCCTGGCCATAGGAACCCCAACCTCCCCACAGAGACGCACATATACAGTTTAAAAACCTTGGCTAGTAAATTATCATGAAGTGCTGGCTGATATTATTTTTCATATATTACTTGTGATAAATTTTTAAAAAATTTAAAGGGAGATGAAGGGAGAAGAAAGCTGGTGAAAAGGAAAGGAAATGGGTAAAGCCTTGGCAGTCGCAGTTTTCCTAATTTGGTGAGGACTAGTGAATGGGAAATTAGACCCCTTTGCCCTCAGAGGGGTGGTGGGGTGGCTAGGCTTCAGCCCAGGCCTAGCCAGTGCAGCACCAGCCCCTGCCCTGCAAAGGCACCTTTCCAGCAGTACATCCCACCTCTTGTGGACTCACTGCAAGCCTGGAAGAAAATCCCTAGTGCAGGGCAGGTATCCTCTGTCTCTGAGGGCAGGAAGAGGGTAGGGATCTCCTAAAGCTCCTGGTCCTGGCCTCTCTGGGCAGGCGCTTGGGAACATGCAAAAGAGTGAAGAACTGGAAAGTTACAGGGGGTCAGAGGGAGAACCTACCAAGTGCCCAGCATTGGGCCAGGTATTCTTACAGATCTATTTATTCCCTGATTTAATCTTCATAATCTTTCTTTCTTCCATTGTGGAAACTCAGGCACAGAGAGGTTAAGTAACTTGCCGAATGTACCACAGCTAGAAAGCAGCTATTTGAACACAGGTGCTCTGACTCACTTTACTACCTCACCTGAGTATAAGAAAAAAAAAAATGATTTGAATTGCCCATTAATGGAATGAGTTAGTTTTGGGGAGACAGGGGGTTCCTATAGTGGGGAAGATGTTTGTTATCTATTGCTATGTAAAAAATTATCCCTAAACTCAGCAACTTGGAACAAAAATATTCATTATTTTACACAGTTTCTGAGGGTTAGAAATCCAAGAGCAGCTTATGGGGTGGTTCCAGCTCAGGGCCTCTCCAAAGGTTACGGTCATGAGGTTGGCTGGGGCTGGAGGATCTTCTGCCAAGCTTTCTCCACATCAGAGAGAGGCCTTGGCTCCTTGTCACGTGAATCTATCTCGCCATAGATCTACTCAAGACAGAACAGCTGGCTTCTCCCAGAGCAAGGGATCAAAGAGAGAGAGAGAGAATAAGCAGGAAACAGTGCTGCAACTTAGGGGAGAGAAAATTCCGGGGCAAAAAACCTAGCTGAAACTGAAATCAGTTGAAGGGAGAAATAAAGTTTAAAACTTGCTTATTGCTTACAAAAAAGCCATCCGACATCTTTCTCTCCTGCCGCTGCAAAAGCAAGTGAAATCCTCCTCCCAACATCTCAGGTTCAGATAAGACTTCCGTTGCCCAGGTAATTACCCACTGATATTGGAGATGAGCTGAACTACTTCTCTCTACCCCTTAGAAACACCTGTTGATATGGAGACACAGTAACGCCAGGCAAGAATTCTGGAAATACTGCAGTTTTACTCACAGGCCACCCCTCTGGAAATCTTGCCTAGAAAACTGGAGCATTGTAACCAGACTAATGACATACAGTAGCAACAGCAATAAAATCATGATAAATCTCAAACTGGAGGATTAAGCTAGGTTCAAAGTCCTACGCAGATTAAGTCCACAGTTGCCCACTCCACAGGCAGGCAGTAGCTGAAGAGGTGGAGGGATCAGAGCAATCATCACGTGGCAGCTGTAGCCAGGGGGTACATCCAGGCCACAAGGACTGTAGAAGAAAATATCTTAAGGGCAATAAGACACATGTTTTAATGACACTAGCATAGGAAAATCTTGTTCATCAGGAAAAGCAACCAATAGTCCAGTAGCCATGTCCACACAAGTCATGGCACACCGATATCCTTCTACTATGGGCAGAGGCCCAATACAGTCTATCTGCCGCCTGACAAGGGGTATTGGCCCCTTTGTT